TCTCAAAACCCTCAGTAACACTCAAAGAGTCTGGTGCTCCCAAGCACCCCCTTATGCAGCATGAGGACTTCAGGTCATGCCCAGATGCCACTTCACACACCCCGCTGCCTGGTTTTATGCCACTGCCTGATTTCTCCTAAGGCCTTCAGCTTTCTATCAGTCCCTCTTTCCCTCTAAGTTCTTTGAGCAATTTCACACTCTGGGTTTTTTCCCTTCTTGTGGCCTAGAGAATGTTTCTTCCTCCCTCTGAGTTCAGACCCTGCCTGATATCCCTCTACCTTAGCCTGAAGTCTTGGCCTTCCGAGAAACCCCTGACCACGTCTGGGCGGGCACCCCAGGACGCCAGGAATGGTGTCGAGAGGGTGTAGTGTATGGCAGGCTGCCGAGAGCCACAGGCAACCAAGCAGTGACACTGGATGAGAAGAGGGACAATTTGTTCTGAGCCTTTTATAGGCCCCCAGCTCCCATAATCCTCTGCGCTGTGGACATAACTCCAAATTCAAAACCTCTAGCCTAAAATGGTGAGTTCTGGATTCCAAGGGTTCATCAGGACACAGTTCCCCCATGATGTCACTGGACCTGCTGAGTGGGACACTATATGATTCAGGGGATGCGTCCAGCCTGGGCCAGACACTGCTGGTGTCTGTCCAGGCTCCCCAGCCCCCTGGTCACCCACTGGTCCTTTGGCTCCACTTTCGCGAGAATTGGAGAGGCAGATGGACATTCCTGATGCCTTAGAAGAACCGATGAAGGGGGTAGGAAGTGAGGCGTGGGGAGAGCCCAAACCAGACCCCAGATTTACAAGGCATATGACTCTTGAGACGTGGAGGGGACCATGCTGCGCAGAGGGCAAACCTCTTACCCCCTCCCATCCCTTTCCACTGGCCACAGCCTGGACCACCCTGCTTGAGGGGGGAGCAGAGACCAGTGTTTATGCAACTGTGGAGAGGCCACAGCCTAGTTGGCCATGCTGCCTGACCAGTGCCAGCCCTGACTCAGCAGAGCCCCCCAGCACACACGCATGCAGATGGACAGACACTCACTCACACAGCTATACACACACAGCCCCACACGCGGAAACCTACGTGCTCACACACGTACACCCAGGCACAGTACATACAAGATGCATGTGAGCACAGGCACACACTCCCGGAGTCACGGGCACACACAGAAGTACACAACACACACACACAGAGCCAGAGTAGGTGGGAGGCCACCAAGAGAGGAGACTCTGGCCCCTCAGGGCCCTCTATGCCATTCACTGACACCTGTACCCACAGCCAATGACCTAAGCCCAGGAAAATGCCCTACCTGTAATCAGTGAAGCCACTTGTAACAGGGTGACAACATGGCCGGGCCTGGGACTGAGTAGCATTTGGAAGGGAGCTGACTTTTATCAGGTGAAGCCAGATCACACAATAGGGCTCACCTGGACCCAGTTAGCCCAGCGCTGGCCCTACTGGCCACTCAAGGGAACCGTGCGGCATGAGACCGCAGAGTGTCATGGGGCTGTGGAATGCTCCTTTCCACAGCCAGGTGGGGTGGCAGCCTCTGGGAGCCGGGCGGGGGAGGAGGGGAGGCAGGCTGTAGGGTGGGGGTATGTTTGCATCCAGGCTGGGGCATTGCAAAGTCACCCAGAAACCAGAAGAGTGATGGGCACTCCTGGGAGTGTGGGAAATGCAGCCGCTTGGGGGCACGATGACTTCTCACCTGGAGATGACCGAAAGCAGAAGTCATCTTCATAAACAGCCCAGGGTGAGTGTCTCCGAAAAAGAAAAAGTTGGAACCATCCAATCCCGTGTGGCTCCTGAGCCCGGTGGTCAAGGGCCAGGTAGACAGGACGGGAAGCTGAGAGCTGCCCAGGAGGGTGCTGGCTACGTCAAAAGCTCCTTGCTCAGCAAGATTCTGGGCCAGGGAGCTAACCAGGGGTTAAAAGGGGGTTTCTACTAAAACAGCCCAAAAGTCTAACCACAACTGAATGGATTGAGAAATTGTGGCACATTGACATAATGGAATACTATGCAGCACTCAGGAGCACCGATTTCAAAAAATACTACATAACTTTGGAGAGACCGGAGAGCATTATGCTGAGTGAACTAACTCAGTCTCATAAGGACAAATACTGCATAAGGCCATTGCTATAAAAATAGAAGGATAAGTAGTAAAATATGTGTGGGGATACAAGGGGGGATGGGGTAGAAGCAGAAGGATGAGGATGAGGAGGGGCAAAACTATAGCGTTGGACAATTTGGTGGGTGGAGGGCGGGGGTAAAGAAAATGGGAAGGACCCAGAGGGACCTGAAAAGATAGGCTAATGATGGGCATAGTCCAACGGTGATTAATTGTATAAAACATAATGAACGGGAATAATTGTATGAAACTCAATGTGAATGGAATATAACGTCAAACATGATGTAAACAAACTTGGTAAGCAAACTCATATAAGATAAAAAAAGGAGGGTTCTGTTTCTCTTCAGTGGGGCCTCCATCAACAAGGCTGGCTGGAGCACATGGAAGTCTCCCCACAAGCCTAGGTCATCATGGTAAAGCTGCAGGCATCTCTGTCCCCTATCCCACCACCCAGACAAATACCGAGCCCCTGAAGTGCTCTGATGGGAGACCATGAAAGGGCAAATTATGGCCTCTCTCATCAACAGAACCAGATCTGGAGTTCGAGTAGATGAAGCAGAAATAAAGGAACCAGAAAGGCCTGAGTCTACCAGAGATGCTGCTGAGGGCATCTCTAGACATTGCCCAGAATCCCGTCACTTGTCAACAACCCCATGGCCAGCGGCCTGGGAGAAACATCCAGATCCTGAGCGTTCACAGCCTCCTCTCTGCTCTCCTTGCTTCTCCACTGCCACACGGCAGCCAGTGATGCTGAAGGACATCATCCCAGCGTGCAGCTCACGCCCTACCTGCAACCCACCAGTCCCCGTGACCGCTCTGACTCCGTGTCCTCCTCTCATTTGCCATCACACTCTCTACTCTTGTCTCAGGACCTCTGCCAGATGATGTCCCTTAAACGGCCATACGGCTCCCTGACACAGACAGTGAGGACCCCAGGAATGTTCTAGCTGGCCCAGAGGGCCCTGTCCCAATAAGGAGCAAATAGGAAAAAGTTGATAGACAAATGCCCTTGTCTCCTCACCCCTCGGGTGAGCCTGGTCTGCTGTCTTCAGGAGGTCCAGCTGAGATGGAGCCCACTGCCCACATCATATGCTCTTTAACCCACAGGGACTTGCCTCCCGCCCCCCTCTCCATTCCCACACTCCCTGGAGCATCTCCAAAGAAGGCTACTCTCAGGTCAGCTTCTGGAGGAACCCAACCCTAAGACACCTCTCTCAACTGTCCTTCCAGTCTCGGCTCAGCGACCACTAGATTTCAGCGGAGCTTCCAGACTAAAATAGAGAGGCCTGGTGATCTACTCCCAGCAATCAGCCAACGAGAAGTCCACAGAGCACAGTGGTCTATTCCATTGCACACGTGCTCATCAGGAGTCAGGGGCTGGCTCAGTGGCAGCCAGTAAAAATACTCAGCCCAGAAGTGTGCGGTTCGAATCCACCAGATGCTCCGCTGGAGAAGGAGGGACAATCTCCTCCTGTGCCAGTCAAATCCGATTTGACAGTACACACATAAAAAATAATTTTAAAAAAAAATAAAAGACCGGCGAGCTCTGGTGACCTAGTGTCAAGAAGCTGCAACTGCAATCTCCAAGATGCATGGTTCGAATCCACCAGATGCTCTGCTGGAGAAGGAGGAACAATCTCCTCCTGTACCAGTCAGATCTGATTTGACAGTACACACAAAAAACAATGAAATAAAATAAATTAAGAAAAAATAAAAATAAAAGACCGTGGCTTGAAGAAGAAGCACTTTGGTCTTTAATATCTTCGGCAAGCTCTGGTGGCCTAGTGGCAAGAAGCTGCACTGCAATCCCAGAGGAGAGCTGTTCGAATCCACCAGATGCTCTGCTGGAGAAGGAGGGGCAATCTCCTCCTGTACCAGTCAGATCTGATTTGACCACACACACACAATATCACACGGAAAGAGGCTGTCCATATTTGTCCCGCAGAGCTGTGGGCAGATTCAAATCTTGCCTGCGGGCTGGGAGTGCAGCTTCTTATCACTAAGCCACCAGTGCTCCCTGGATCTTCTTGAGGGGGTGGAAATGCACCCTGATGGGGCCACCCTGACCTCCTGAGCTTTGCTGGCCTGCACAGGTCTTCACTCGAGACCTTGATCCTGCTGTCGAACCTTCTGGTGGACCAGGTACGGACCCTGCAAAGGCAGGCTCTGAGAGCCACTCTGGACACACTTGTTCCTCAGTGTCCCCACCCAACCTAAGGCCCTTCTGTTCTTTCAGCCCGGGGACAGAATTAGTGCCTGCCTGGCATCCATTCCCAGTGCAACTCAGTCAAGGCCATGCCCCATTCTGGGATTCCGTTTTCCCATTCATGATCCAGGTGGCTCCGGGCCCACGGCCGACAGCTCCCTGATTACAGACGAGGACGAGGAAGGAGAATTCAGCCAGGGCCCTAGCACTGTGGCATCTTGCCGGCTTGGTGCCCAAGGCACAGCTGCCGTCTCTGGGAGGTGAGAGGGTTGGACAAGATCAAGAGAGGGAAGAGAAGAAAAAAAGGAAGAAAGAAGGAAGAAAACTATTTATTCACGAGGCCCGTCACACAGGCACAGAGATGTGGTTGCCCAATAGGGTGGAGATGCTGGTGGCCACACAGAGAGGTCTTGTACGGGAGTCTCCCTCCTTCAGACTCTGGCTCCATATCACGAACGGGAGGTGATCTGGCCTCCCCTGGATCCCTGTGGGCACAGGAAGACCGATTACACAGGCGGTGTCACCCCAGGCAGCAGGATGTCAACTGTTGGTGAGGGTGGACGATCTGGGGAAGAGAGGAGGGCAGGAGGGCTGGGACTGTGCGGATGTCTAAGGGGTCAGCAGAGGGTCTGGAAGGGGCGAGGGTCTCACCTGAGTGAGGGGCTCAGCTGGCCATGATGTGCTTCACAAAGGCTGGAAAGAAGGAGAGAGTGAGCAGCAGTGGGGTTCACATTGGGGTAACCCAGGGCGGGGGCCTGAGGGTTCCAATGTTCCCCCTCCCCTGCTGTACCCACCTTCATAGTTGATACAGCCGTTAGAGTCCTCTTGGCCGGCCATCAACTTCTCCACTTCATCTTCCGTCAGCCGCTCACCTGGCAGGGATGGGAGACCGAGTCAGGCCCCTCTGAGGGTGTGACAGGGTGAGAGACCCTCTGGATGGTGACAGACGCCTTCATGCCACTCTGATGTTCCCACACACCACACAATGACACTGCCACCATTGCTCTCAAGGTGTGGCCATCATCCCCATGTCCAAGATAAGAATTGTTAACAAGTCCAGATGGGTCCAGCCTGGACTCTATGTGAAACAGAATCCCCTTGAGGTTCAAGTCACCCAGTGTGTACTGTCCTCTGTCCCTTCTGGGCAGGCCAGGGCTCCTCCCTGGAGACAGTCTTTTGGGGCTCCCCTGGGAAGGCAGAGGAAGGCTCCATGGGGCAGAATTAGGACCCCACGAGGGGACGTTAGTGAGTGACTATGAAGAGAAGAGAGACACCTCTCGCCCAAGTGATTACCTAGAGCTGTGTTTTGTGAATTTCACTGTCACCTTCACTGGAACTCACACCCACATAAACATACACACAAACAAAGCCCCAAGACCAGCACAGGGCTGTACACATAGTTGTAGTTGTTGTTGTTGTTGTTGTCGATTGCCTTTGAGTCGAGCACGACTCACAGCGACGCTATGAACAAAAAGGCTGAAAGCCCTCTACAACCATTGACATTTATCGAAGTTCATAGAGTTTCCGGAGGCATGTTGTTTAGGAAGTGGATGTCACTCCTGCTTCCAATCTCTGCCATTGGCCGATCACTGATCACTGAAGCTGATCTCAGCTCTTAGAACCTCCTGTGAGGTTCAGCTTCTTTCCAGCAAAGGGTACACAGTAGATGTTCAATAAATACTTGGTGCAGGAGGAAGTCCTTTTGAGGAGGGTGCACCACAGTCCAGGAGCCTGACGATGGGAATAGCTGGGAGGCGCACAAGGCCACAGGGTAATGTGGATGCTCCCACCAAGTCCCCCTAGGGGGCCAGTGTGTGCACTGAAATCTGAGCGTCAGAGCCGACCCCCTCCCTGCACGGTCCCCCTCTATTCTGTTAGCTGCAACAAGACCCTTTCCGCCTCCCAGTCTAAGCGACTTTTCTGTTTCCCGCCATCAAGACATCAAAACTGTGGCTCTTCCACAAGTGAGGACTCTTTCCCCCACCCCCCTCCCTAGAGCCTAGTGGACGACAGCGGTTTCTCCCAGGATCCTGGCCGCCCTCTGGAAGCAGGAGAGGGACGAAGGGAGGCTGCCCTCACCCAGCGTGGCCAGCACGTGGCGGAGCTCAGCGCCCATGACGGTGCCATTGCCCTCCTTGTCAAAGACCCGTAGCCCCTCCACGAAGTCCTCGTAGGTGCCCGTGTCCTTGTTCTTGGCAATGTGCTGCAGCATAGGCAGGAACGTGTCGAAGTCCATCATCTTGGAGTTGAGGTCTACAGAAGAGAGTGTCCTGAGTCCTGGGACCTGCACTCCCCGCCCGCCAGGCCTCACTCCCAAGGCTCCGTAATGGGAAGAGATGGCCCTTCACACAGTTGGCCTGCACAATCCCAAGGCACCTCACCTAGTTGATAGAGCCCTCTGCTCTGAGCCCTGCCTCTCTGTCCTCATTCAAACAGGAGAGCACCAGCAAAGGCATAGCAGAGGGTTCATGCCACAGGCCCCCCCCTTGACTGGCACTGTGTGGGACCCCAGGCAAAAGGTACCCACCTTCCTGTTTTGGCTTCCCCAGAACACGGAGCACTTCAGCCTGGGTGGGGTTCTGACCCAGCGCCCGCAGGACGTCCCCACACTGGCCATACGTGATCTTCATCTCCCCCTTGGGCGTGCGGTCAAACAGCATGAACGCCTCCTTGAACTCTGCCAGGAGAGGGCAGTGAGTTATAGACGCCCCCCAGAGCCAGCCTAGCTCCACTCACTCACACATGAAGGACCCCTGGCCCACCGAGAGCCCTGCTCACCTTCAATCTGCTCAGGTGTGAACTCGATCTGAAAGGAGACCCCAAAGACAGTGAGTGTCTGGCCCCCCCCACCCCGGTCACCAACTCCTCAAATGCAGCATCCCCCACTCCAGTATCCCAGCCTCAACCCCCCAAGGCCTCCTGCTGCACTTTGACACTTTCCTGCGGCTTACCTTCTCCCACCTGTGACCTGATTTAGGGCCTTGGGTGTTCGAGTACCTGGGCTGATTCTCCATGAGCAGCTGGATTCTGTGGGGGCTAGATCCCCAAGTCCTCAGCTCAAGGCAGGCATTCCCTGGAAATATGTGCCTGCAGACACAGGAGCTAACCCAGACAGCCTCGCCACCCCCACCAGGCCTGTCATCGCCCCAAGGAGGCCCAGGGCTAGCAAGAGAAGTGACAGTGGTGGAACAGGTCAGCTGACTCAGGCCAGCCTGGGGGCACATCCACAGGAGGCAGGCCCACTGCACACCTGTGTGTGCTGTTTGTACACATGTCCGCATGTGCCAACACGTCCCTGTCCCCCACAGAGCCCCAGGCCTCTCTGGGCTGGGCACCATGACTCACATGCAGACCCCAATCTGAGCCTGCGTCTCAATATCCCTGCCACCCGGTCCCCAGAATCCAGCACAGCGTGGGGCTAGGGCACTGCCACCAAGGACTTGCTGAAGCCACATCAGGGCCATATCCCTGGCCAATAGGCATCTGGAACCTGGGTGTCCCCCTCCTCACCGGACACCAGGTCTATTTTTATCAATGCAGTCACTCCTCCCAAGGTCAAGGTCACATGAGGGAAAGGAGCCTGGGGGAGGGGACATGACTGGCTGCTCTGGGAGCCCCACTGACTTCCACAGTGGATCACAGCAAAGAGAATCACTCAATTCATGCCACCTGCCTGGTTGTCCCCAAGGTCTCTGGTTCGTCCCAGTGTGGACAAGAACGAGGTGTCATTCCTGGTCCCCTGAGACCACCCTCCACCAGGTATCCTGCTAAGATTCAATGCCTTTGGCCCCTGGTCCCCCTGCCTCTTGCCCTGCCAACCCTGGTCCTGAAGGGTGGGGGGCAATAGAAGGAGTCCCACCACCCTCACCTCCGAGAAGGGACTCTGAGCCCCAGGCAAAGTGAGACAGGGTAATGCCACCATGGACACTCGTGTGGGACCCTCACCAGGACCCTGCAGGAGGATGCCAGCCTCAGTCTGGGGACAACACCTTCCATGAATGGCTCCCAGCAGCTCCAAGAGCGGGACTTAACATCCCATTTTACAGAGAAGGAAAATAAGCCTCAGAGCAGTGAAGGGGGCTGAGCGATTAAAATGGAGCGGAGTTGGGATTCGAACCTGTGTCTTAAGGGGCATGAGGCAATGCTTCCAGCAAGGGCCTGTGCACAAGAGGGGATCTATGCAGATGGGGTCTTTCTGAGTGGGCAGAGGCAGAAGAGGGCTCCACAGGGCGCCTGAGGCGCAGCCAGGGAGGCAACAGCCAAGGCCAAGGACAGGCATTACGCAGGGTTCGTGCAGTTATGTAGATACCACAGGTAGGAGTCACGGTTTGTCCAAGTTTAGACTCCGGGAAAGACTTTCCAGTCGGGGAAGTGCTCCAATGGGCGCTAGTCACAACTGCACCAGTTCCCTGAGTGACCTCCTCTAATTCCCTATCCAGCTGTTTCTCCACCTCCCCCTGAAGTCCAGGATCCAGGGAGGGCTCTGCCTGCTTTGAAGCTCAATGGTCCACTTGGCAAGGGTGAGTGGGACCCAGCCTGGGAAGGGACCGTGTGTCCCCTTACTGCTTGGACCTTGGGCGTGGACTTCGGACACTTCAGCTGTAAAAAGAGGATCTCTGGCTACCGATGTGATTGGGGTGAGGAAACAGGTGGCTTCAGGACCCCCCAGAATTTGAAGGAGGATGGCAAGAGGGCCCATTTTTGGAGTTCCTCCCCTAAAGACATTCCTTTTAAATCCCAGCCCAGATTTCACTCCAGTGGTGCCCTGGGCTCCCAGAGCATTGTGGGGAGTCCTGCAGGTTGTCTGACCACCATCTCCCTGGCTGCAGCCCTCCTGAGGACCGAGCCCCCAGGGCCTCTGCGTTTTCTTTTTGGATCCTGGCCTGCTGTGAGGTGGGTCCCCCACCTTCCTGCCACAGTTCAGCTCCCAGACCCACCTTGATCTTGGAGGCATCAAACGCCACCTCCTTGGGGGGCTCAGGTTCTGGCGTGGGCGCTGGAGCTGCAGCTGGCGCTGGGGCCGCCTTGGGCGCTGCCTTAGCCTCGTCCTTCTTGGGCTCTGGCTTTTTGGGGGCCATGGCGGTTGTCAGCACAGAGTGTCGTGGAGATTGGATGCAGAGAAAAAGGTGTGTTAGGCTCCTGCACCCAGGCCTTTATCCTGCCTGGTCATCTGGTGACCCCGGCCCCACCCCCACAGTGCACAATAGGGAAGAGGCCATAAAAGGACATTGGCCAGGCTCAGGGGCTATTTTGGGGCCTGGGGAGGGCATTGTTCGGACTCAGGAATGGGCAGGGGAAAGGGGAGGGCTCTCTGTGCCTCCCAATCACCTGTTTGGGGAAGAGGGGCAGAAGAGAGAAGAGAGGCCAGGGCCCTGCACACACATGCATGTGCACACACAGGCGTGCGCGTGTACAGACATACAGCCAGGGACCTGCTTCCCTTGGTAGCTGATAAACTAACCAGGTGAAGAGGGCTGGGCCAGGTATAAGTTGAGGTTGTGTTGGGGACAGAAAGCCTGGGATAACATAAGAGTCCCTCTGGAGTTAAACTTCCCATCCATGCATGGAATTCTGTGTCTGCGTGTCTGTCTATGTAGGGGCTTTGCATGGTCTGTGTTCTGGTTGTGTGTCTATAGGGATGTTTCACTTGTGTGAGTTTGCATGTGTATGTGTATAGGAGAGTGTGTGTGTGTGTGTGTTTCTGTGTTTAGTCTGTGTCTGGGTGTCTGTGTGTTTTACGTGCTGTCTGGGTGTATCTGGGTGTCTGTGCTCAGGGGTCTGTGTATCTGTGTGTTGTGTTGTGTCTGTCTAGACATTTTTGACAGTGGGGGTCTCTGTATTGCCATGTTTGTGTGTCTCTGTGAGCATGGTCTGTGTGTGCACGTATGGGGTGGGGGGAGGGGGTTATATCAGTGTGTGTCTGTCTGGCCACAGCCCAGAGGCAGCTACAGCTGCAGCCAGGAGCCCCAGGGGTGGTCTTATGAGTTAGCAAAGTACTTGCTGCTCCCCCTTGGGAATCACCCCAACCCCTCCCAGCAGCCAAACAGCCCCACAGCCTCGCTTATCAGAGTCCACGGAGCCTATGGGGTTGCTTCCACGGATCTCACCACAGGCTTCCCTACTGCCCAGTAACCCGAGGGACCTGGCTCCCCGCCACCGCACAGCCTCAGCTTGGCCCCCCTGCCCTCTCTTCCAGGAAGCTCTCCCTGATGCCTAGCGGCCTATTTGTCTCTGCTGTCCTCTTAACAGAGACCCTGAGAGGGCTGAGTGGGGTTCGCCCCCTGGTGTCCAGCCCCGGATGCTCACCTCCAGAAGCCCAGCCCTCAAAGCCCCGCCTCTGGTACCACCCCTTGGCACAGGCCTAAGCAGATGGCAGTGACCTAGTAGAGCCTGGCTGGGCCACCCTTGGGGAGGTGGGGGTGGGGGGTAGCGGGAATGGCGAGGTGGCGTGAGGTCCTCTCAGCTTAGTGAGTGGGACATCTTGCAAACACATTGAGTTCAGTTCCCGACCCAGCGTCTGTGCCTGGAGGGTGGGAAGGAGGTATTGCTGGTTATTTTTAAGTGCCTGGAGCCTTTGATAGAAACTTCAGAGGCAGTGCCCTCCCCTCGCCCGGGGTGGGGGGGCAGGGGAGACGGGGGATAGTGTTGGATGTGGAGAGGGGCTGCAGCCATGCCTGAGGGGAGGATTCCCTGGGGGGCTCTGCCTGGGGCCCCCACCAGAGTTCCTCTCATGCTGCCCCTCGGCCTCACTGTAAGGGGGACAGCAGTGCAGGGACAGGACTGAGACCTCTCCTGAACCAAACAGGGGGCATTCCTCCCTTCATCTGGAGGGCAGAACACACCACATCTGGAAAACTGACAACATCCGGGACTGGGGGAGGGTGAAAATTTTTCACTTTTCTTCCAGATGTTTGGCAAGAGTATTGAGAAAGAAAGGGGGTGGGGAGAGGTCCACAGAGGCGAGCCCGAAATTCCACAAGAAGACGGCCAGAGGTGGACACACAGAGAGGTCTCTAGGCAGTCCCAGGCCCAGATCTGCCGAGCCTCAGAACACCTGTCTCTGCACATCTACAGCACCTCAACCACCCACGGCCACAGCCAAGGCCACCCAGCCCCCTTTCATTCATCATGAATGAAATGGAAGCAGAGGACAGAGGACATTACCCAGGGTCACCCAGACACCTCTGCCATTTCTGGTCACACACAACTGCTGCCCCTTGGAAACCACCCAACATCAGCTGGAACACAGCTGGGTAAGTGACGTAAGCCGCCTGGACCTCAGTTTCCCTGTACCAACGCCACCTTCTTCTGTGTTTGGGGGGACAGACGCAGCTCCACAGTAAGGATTCTGTCCACACTCCCTCACCAAGGCTCAGACTGGGGCAAAGCCTCTGGCTAACTGAGCCCTGACTTCAAGCCATTCGTCTGCTGGCCCCAAAGCAACAGTGTTCAGGGCTCACCCAGCAGAACCCCCCTCAAACCTGTAAGTAACATTCACCCCTTAACTGTGAGCATGATTGGCTGTCCAAGGGGCTGAGGGAGGGTGGGGAGAGAAGGCAAGGGCGAGCCACACCAGAGATTAGTGCTCTCGCCTGGCTCCTTCAGGAACAATGGTGCCAAAGGCAAGATCCTGGAGGAGTCTGGGGGACCTGGAGGGCCTGGGGACCCCTCCAGTGAGTCTGAATCCCATCAGTCCTGATGTTTGAGCTATGACCCAGCCTGCGGCACATTCACACATGCCATTGTCCAGCGCCTTCCTTCTCCAGGGGCCGCTGGGGAAGACGTGGACACCAGTGCTGAGGAGCCCTGTGGATTTAGGCAGGAGGCCCCTCGCCACACCAGCCTCCATCCAGGTCGTCAGCCAAGCCCTCCCCACTCCCCCCCTTGCCCATGCCTTTGCACAGCTGTTTCCTTCCCTGGCACCCTCCTCTGAGACCCTGCCCATGCGATGAGATGGTACAGCCTCCAAGAAGAATCCTCAAACTACCCTGAGCTGCCTCCATCCTGTCTCCTACCCGGATTGCCCCCATGCCTGCAACCCCTAACATGATCTTATTTCTTTGTTATCTTGTCTCTTCGTGTCCCCACTCTCTGCCTTCTCTCCCCTGTCCACTCCTGCATGTCAACTGGCCAGGGGAGGAAATAGTCTGATATACAGTAAATAAGGGAGCTCTGGTGGCCCAGTGAGTAAGGAGCTGAGCTGCCAACCAAAAGTCCGGCGGTTCAAATCCACTAGGTGCTCCATGAAAGAAATATGGGCAAATCTCCTCCCATGTGACTGACAGCCTCTGAAAACCTGTTGAAATGTCCTTAATGAGTGAGTGAGTGATACAGTGAGTGAATAAGAGATACAGAAGGTGTTCAATAAATGTTGGATGAGCAAATATGCCAAGTATCTCGATCAACTCACCTCTCACAGGGGGCTAGAATACTTTGTTAAGTCTTCTCTCTAGTGGCCTAGTGGTAAGACGCTGCGCTACAATCATAACAACTCATGTTTCAAATCCATTAGCTACTTCCATAAGAGAAGGATGGGCAATCTCCCGTGTGATTTACCGTCTCTGAACACTCCCTGGAGGGTCAGCTGTGAGTCGATTCCAACGGTGAGCTATGGGTCGGTTCCAACGACTAAGCTATAGGTTGATTCCAACTTAACAGCACTCAACAAAAACATCCCTAGATTGAGGAGAGTGTTGCTGGGAAAAGCAACTTTCCAAGGACTCTGAGGAGCTCTGGTGGTCCAGCAGCACCTCAGGAGACTGGTGCAGCCAACACTTCCCCTTAAGCCCACCTGAGCCTGCGAGCCGTCTTCCTGGGACCACTTAAACTTGAATCTGCCCTCATGCTACTGCCTAGTCTTTTTTTTTAATTTTTTTTTTTTACTGCCTAGTCTTAAGGAAGACTTCCAACAGCCTAGGGACTGACTCCTCAGTACCACGGTGCCTCGGTCAACCAGCAGGGGGCGCAGAAGAGATGTGAACCAGGCACTGGACCCTGACTCCAATCCCAGGACTCAAGAACTTAAACCAGACCCTCCACCCCATAAGCTGAAGGCTCAAACTCAGATTCCAGAACCCAGCACCCAGGGCTCCAGTCCAAATCCTAGACCGAGGACTTGAAACCTCACACCCAAGTCCGAGACCCAGGTTCCAGCACTCAAACCCAAACCAGGTCCCAGACCCTAGGACCTCCGACTCAGACCCTAGTATTAGGTCTCACGATCTGAACCCTAAACCTGAAAAATGAAACCCAAAACCTAGAACTCAGGACTCAGACCAGGAACCCAGACACAGAACAGGTCTCAGCCCCCTGAGGCTTGAATCCAGGACCCCAATCTCAGACTCCAGACCCAAGACTCAGAGGGGCTGGTGATATTTCAAATCAGCACCTTCTGCTGCCCATTGTGAACCTGGTGGCGCAGGGTGAGGGAGATTTGGCAAACTTCAGGGAACATGCTTGGCAGACCTCCCTGGTAGTGTTCAGAGGAGTGAGGGGACTGTCCCTTGTCCTAGGGAAGCTCAGAGTGTATAGACCATGTAGAGGAGGTGGCAGGGTCAGGGGTGAACCTAGCAGCCCCTTGGGCCCAGGAACCAGAGGCAGGCAGGAGAACGACTGCCCACGTGCCCTCGTCCCCCGGCCACAGGCTTCACAGGCTGCCCCAGCCCGCCCCTCCTGGCTCAGAGCCTCCGGGCTGGGACGCAGGCCCACACTTCCCGGAGGAGTCGAGAACGCGGCCTGGGCCAGACCCAGAGCCTCAGAAGTAGGTCAAATGTTGCTGCACGACAGGTCCTGGGGACCCCCATCCAGACAAGGGGAGACCCACAGCGGCAGCTTGCACATCAGGGCACACGTGTGTTCCCATACGGATAAAAGCTTACCCCCGCAGCTGGATGTCCATGAGCATGGGCCCCACACCAGGGCCCTAGTTCCCCACCCAAACCACCACACAGGCAGGGAGACTGAGCCCAATGGGCTGGGGCTGTCCTGCAGCTCAGGATGCACGAGGCAGACCCAGTGGCCAGGACAGAGTGAAGTGCTACCATCCGACGCCCTGAGGAACATTGGGGGAAAGTCAGACTCCAAGCAGGACTTCCCAGCAGGGCTGCTTGGCCACCAACAGGATGTGGGCCGCTTCCCGGAGGCCCAGCCCCAGGCTTTGAAAGATG